CGTGGCAACTATTGGCAAAATCCCTCTAATGGGAGAGGATCAGTGTTCAGCAGTGGACACTTAACGGCTGATATTATCATCATAATGATTGTCAATAGAACTGCTATTCTATATCACTTGCAAACTCTCTCCCCCCCCCCCCCCCCAATATCTCCTAATTAGGCCATAATTAAATTAGTTTTTTTACTGAACTAGGAAGTCCACATCACTGCTTGATTAGAATTATTTTGTTATGATGGCATAATTAAAAAAAAAATTTAAAAATATAATTTTTAATTTTTTTCTGGAACGAAATTTCAAATTACACATTAAGTCTACATCCAGCTTAATAGCACAGCAACAGTAGAGCTTGTTTCAGTCACCTTCACTTTTAAACTATACCTACGCTATATTACGAGCATTATGATTGCCGAGTGTTGCAACAGCCCGTCACGATTCCTTTGTCAGCTGACTCTCGGGTTGAATCCATTATGTTGGCTAACCTGTACCATAAGGATTTGAATAATTAATACTATAGTTATATTAATGTTCACTTAAGTCTCGCTTTCCATTTACATCCGCCATATAAAGTTGTTTTCAAAGCAGACTTTTTTTTATATAAAACCAAGGAAGTATTAAACACACACAAAAACCACAGTATAATTCAATTTGAGAGTCTTGTATGTCTTGCTTTAAAATCATGGGACATGGCAGTGAAATTACTGTAATACAAGATCTTTATATTAGAACAAAGGTTGGTAACAGCAATGCCAATTGATGAATCTATTAGATGGAGTGATGCCTCTAATGTTGTAATAGTTCGTATATTAAGAAATCGCCTATCACCAAGTGGAGCTCTATTGTCGCCTTAATTTTGGCTAATACATTACAATTACCGGTTAGCATACTAAAAATTGACATAATTTTAAACCATCAATAACCAGCACACCACTCGTCTCACTAAAAGAACATAGCCGTCTTCCGTGAAACAACATAAAACGGAGCGACAAATGCGCCCGGACGGAATTCTAATGCGGCTACAGAAACACGTGTTGTACATAGTGATGTTTCGAGTCAGGCACATTCGAGTGTTAACTCGAATATCTAATACTCGAAGATATTCATATACTCTGGGACTACACAGAATCCGGATACAGAATACTAGTTTTGAGTACTACGCGTAGAGTAATCGAAATTTGGTCAAGTGTTTATCGTAAGTTTGTTTGTTTTTTACTTCATTAATTTTTTTTTCTTTATTTACGAGAAGAATTATTAAATTTCTGAACATTTATTTTCATTAAAAGCAAGTTTCAGAAATAAATTGCAACAGTACAGTCTGATGTAGTACTCGAATACCCAAACTCTTAGTACTTGTTCGAGTTTTCGAATTCGAGTTAGAATACGATTTTTTAACCAGTATCAATATACTCGAACAACAAAAAAGACCGACTCAGTACATCACTAGTCATGCACCATTAATAATTCATACGACAAATGCGTGCGCGCTGCGACAGGTCAACTTCGGTGCAACTTAGGGTTGGGCTGGCATTATTCTAGTCCATAATTGATTTTATATCACGCCAGTCCATTTATTAGCGCATTACACAAAAGGTGTATTTTAATATTAACTACATATTACTAAATTATTGCTGGTATTATATTATTGCAGTGTGGTCCCGGCATAGAATGGGTCACTCCTTCTTTACTCGTGTCGTAAGAGACGACTAAGGGAACTTAATAGTCGAGGAATGAGCAGCAGCGTCCTTCTTAAAACATCACCAAAGCCTAACTGCGGTTGCCAACCCGCTTGCTAAGCGTGGCAACTATTGAGAAAATTCCGCTTATGGGGGAGGCCTAGGTTCAGCAGTGGGCAGTTAAGATGAAGATTTCATTATATTAATAATTATTATATAGCAATGAACCCAGTAAATATGAGAGTGATTGTAGAAATATTTAGAGTTCTGCAGATTTCGGAGATTACTGTGAACGAATATCGTGACACGGGAAATATTTAACTAGAACAAAATAAACAGCTGTACTTTTGAATACCGATGTTTGTATTAGACTGAAAACTAATCCGCAAACGTAGGAGAATTTTCTATCATCGTACGGCTCGCCATCGACAGGAATTAACTCCCTGTCGATGGCCTCCCTCATACCCTACAGTCTAAATGGTCGCGTACAACGCGGTTTCAGAGATGTTTTCTCCCACGAACACTCAGGTTATGTAATGAGCTCTCTGCCGAGGTTTTCCCAAGAGACTACAGTATGGGGTTCTTCAAAAGGGGGGTAAAGAGGTTTCTTCTGGGTCGGCATCGCGCGCGTAATACCTCTGGTATTGCAGACGTTCATAGGCTACGGTAACCGCTTACCATCAGGTGGGCCGTATACTTGTTAGCCACCTCAGTGGTATAAAAAAATACGATTAATCTAGTTCCTCTAGGTCTACCACGAAATCATATGCGAATTTTCGGACGGTCTCTACTATGAATTTTATTGGATTTGGTCCGTACAGGTTTTCTATTCGATCCAACTAACTTATTATTATGAGAATTAATATGCTGTAATATTTCTTCCAAAAAAAAAAAGAACGAACCAATAGTTTGTGTTATAAAACACTGCAAATGTCAAAAGATTATCGTTCGAATTTGAACAATCAGATTCGTAATTTCAAAGTAAGTTTCTTTGATTAATTAATAAGCAAAATATGTGAATGTGAAAAGACTATTTTCAGCGCTTAGCCTCTCATTTGGGTCGTTGTGCGTATAAGTCGTGGCTAGTACAGCCAACCTAGCTCCGTCCAGAAGCGCAGAAGCTTCCTGGATTCTTCACAGGCCTCACGGAGCGACCTCACCGTTCCGAGGATTTCTAAACGTTGATGGGCCACAGCCTCACATTCCAGGAGTACGTGAGCAGCCGTTTCTTCCGCGTTAAGCAAAGTATATTTGTATAGGTTTTTTATGTGACTATTTTAGATAAATTACTATATCTATACTATTATATAAAGCGAAAGAGTTAATTTTTTTATTTGAATACGCTAAACTCTTGAAGTATCAGACGGATTTGAAAAATTCTTTTTGCCTTTAATAGGTAATTTCTTCAATATCACAATACTATCAGGGGTGAAGCCACGGGATACAGCTAGTAAATTATAATTACAACGATCTACGATAAAGTAATACGCAAAAAGCAACAACCAAGTATTTGCCACAAGGGCAAGGTCACGGAATAGGTATTAAATCATTCGGTTATAGCTACAACAGTTTTTGTTTGAACCTATGGGGTCTTCAACCTATGGAACTGGTTATAACGAACGATAGGTACAACTAGTAAAACGGCCGATATATAAATAATAATGACATAACTCGAATGTTTTTGAAATTTTTGTTTATGATTACGTATTTACTAGTAGATTTTTTTATGGAATGACAATGGAATTGTAACTCCGCCTGCGCTATCGGTATACGTTAGCGGGAGACCAGTGAGAGATGATAGGTGCAGATGAAAGCAGGTTAGTGGACCTATCGTGATGAATTCAACAGAAATTAATCACTATGGTTTCCAGGGTAAACCGCGTGGAGGTCGACCTGACCTGTTATATTACTACCAATGGGGCCGATAGTCCTTATTACTACTAAACCCATTCTCCCCTTGTAGGTAGATGCAAGGTTCTTTTTTTATTTAAATGTTTTTCTAGATTCAGTACAGTTTACTTTATATATCAGCTTATAATAAAAACATATAGAGATGGATTTTTTTATACAATTTAGAATGGCAAACAAGCTGACGGCCCAACTGATGGAAAGTGTTAACCGTCGCCTATAGACATGAGCAGTACCATGGACATAACAGAGTATATTGTTTCGCCTATGATACCCCCATGCGTTGACCTGACAGGATATATTACTAGCAAAAGGAATATTAGAGTCCGCATTACTAACAAACCGTCCCCCCCCCCCCACCGATTGTTTCTTTGCCCATTATACCAGTCCCATTGCTAGCAATAGAATCCCCATGCGTTGCCATTACCATGGACCAGAGTATACTGTTTCGCCCATTATACCCCCCATGCGTTGCCATTCCCGAGGACTCAGGTGTTATTCCTCTGTACCCAGTAAATTTACGCCATATCCCACCCTTCAAACCGAAACACAGCCATGCAAACACAACTGCTTCACAGTTGAAACACGAATGGGACAGAGGTACTCAAGCAATCGACTTTTGTACAAAGTCTCCCTCTGGTGATGTTTTAAAAGGGGCACTTTTGCCCATCATTCGACCGTTAACCCTTCTTTGCATGATTTTTTTATTGGTGAAATAAATCAAGGCGATATAATTCATGTTCAAAATTAAGGGAAAACTAGTTAAGAAAGTAAATTTGACAGCTATGTTCTTTTTCTGCAATGAGCATTAAAAAGGTAGCCAAACACGATCATATAATAAATTAATATAATTTTTGGGCATTCAGTGTTATGATGGAAATTTCCACCATTATGCAAAGAAGGGTTAAGTTCCCTTAGTCGCCTATTCTATGTCCGGCCCATTCTATGTTTTTTTTATACAACTTAGAATGGCAAACAAGCTAACGGCCCACCTCATGGAAAGTAGTAACCGTCGCTTATAGACATGAGCAGTATCATGGACATAACAGAATATACTGTTTCGCCCATGATACCCCCCATGTGTTGCCATTCCTGAGGACTCAGGTGTTATATCCTCTGTACCCAGTAAATTCACCCACCCTTCAAATCGAAACACAGCCATGCAAACACAACTGCTTCACGGTTGAAACACGAATGGGACAGAGGTACCCAAGCAATCGACATTTGTACAAAGGACTACACGGCTATTTTATTTTTATTTTTGCAAATTAAAATCTCTCAAGTCTTGGTTGCTGAAAATGTCTGAAAAGAGAAATTAATAGCCTGTTGAACACCATACGACACAAATTTACACAGAACCTCTTCCTTTTTTGAAGTCTGTAAAGAAAGAAACGTAAATGTTACATTTTTTGTTTTCAGGGCCGACACCATGTTGCAGCAGATACTGCGTGACATGTGGGTGGACCCTGAGATCCTCGCCGAGCTCGACGAGACCCAGAAACAGACGCTGTTCTGCAAGATGCGCGAAGAACAGGTTATTATAATAAATATACTTTTTATTGTACTAAAACATACAGTAATAATAACAATTACAAACAATGTAAACGAAGATGAAGTTACTCGTATCTGTAAAAGAGATCTCTTCCAGTCAATTTTCAAGTTCGTATTTATCAAATAACTGGCGACCCGCCCCACGTAGAACTGTTTTTTTTTTTATTGGTACTTGATTGTTACTTGCCGATAATGTAGCTTTCTATAGTAGATTTTTTTAAATTCGTTAAATATTTATGAGTTTATCTCTTAGATACAAACAAAATTATCAGAAATATCGAGTTTTTTGATAATATAATGGTAACCCCGCTTGCGCTAAAGGTATACGCTGGCGTGGCACCAGTGAGGGATGATAGGTGACAATGAAAAGGCAAATCAGTTAACCTATTGGCATGAATTCACTTGGAATAGAACACGACAGTTTTCAGGGGGAACCGCGAGGAGGTCGACCTGGTTGGGTATATTGCTAGTAATGGGATTCTGCACATACACGAGCATACATCCTTGTATTGCTAACAATGAGGCTACTAATCCCCATTTTTAACAATTCATCATGCCCCCCCCCTCCCTATAAGCTCATGAAAACCAGAAAAGAGTTTGAAATCGATTACATATGATATACTGATTAGATTACGTAAAAACTTACTGTTTTATAATACTACTTTTGTTAAATAGAAATAAGTATGTATCGTGTAATGAATTTATCAGTAATAATATAATGGACAATAAGTGAAAGGTTCATAATCAATACACAGCTATTGCATCCGCTTCTGTTATAATTAAGAATATACCGTAGTACATAATGCTTATCGAACTGTTGGCATTCAACGAATGCTATCACTAGAATGTTGTCATTACATCAATAGATTTTCTATTCTTTTTTATAAACAGTTTACATTGGTAAGTTATTTACTTATTAGTAGGAAAGAATTAAAATCTTAGATCATATAAATAAGTAATGTTCTGATGTTTTAAAATATTGACAATGACACCAATACCAAATATTTTTGATTGAAAAATATTCAAATTGGGCAAGAATATTGTATAAAGATCGTATCTTATTAATATAATAATAACGAATGTTTGTAACGATGGATGTATGTTGATTACTCTATCACACAAAAACTACTAAATGGATTTAAATGAAATTTATATATCCTAACTTAGTACATACAATATTTTATGTATTGATTTACACGGGTCAAACCGCTGGATACAGCTAATCTTAAATATACGAGTATATCATGAATAAAAATAAATCTATTTCATAAATATATAGTAATATCTAGTAGCAGTTGTGTTTGCATGGCTGTGTTTCTGTTTGAAGGGTGGGATATGGCGTGAATTTACATGGTACAGAGGAATAACACCTGAGTCCTCAGGAATGGCAACCTATGGGGGTATCATGAGGAAACAGTATACTCTGTTATGATGGTACTACCATTCATGTCTTCTGTTACCACTTTTCATCAGGTGGGCCGTCAGCTTGTTTGCCATTCTAAGTTGTATAAAAAAAAAATCTAGATAATGTGTCTATCTCTAAGAAACTGTAGCAAAAACAGTTTAACTATTAATCTGTGAAGTTCAGGGAGTGCATTTCGTTAACTTTAAAAACTTAATCTATGATTAAACTGGAACGAGAATGTGCGTTTCTTACTGTATTTACTACGTTTGAATTGTTATATAATTTTTGTATTGTAATTATCATTGTATTTTAATATAATATATATTGGTATTATAGTAAATATAAATTGTATTATAATATATTATATATTGGTATTATAGTAAAAACAAAGAATTAAGTTATAAAGATATAATAAAGTTATTTAGAGCAATTAGAAAATCATGCTGTAAGACAAACAATATGATAAATCCATAAGAATAAATACATTGGGCTTTATGGTGAATCTTTGTCGATTGTTGTGGATTTTTATTTAAAAAAAATATCACTCCATTACTTTACTAAATTAATAATTTCTAAATAAAAAATGACCGCGTACGTAAGAAGTTAATTATGTTTACGGAACTAGGTATCCACTCAAGTGTGTCGGAACTTCTCAATGTGCTTACCACAGTGTTGCCACATAGCGAAAATTTTACGGTACTTTTTGTTTATTTAAGAATAAGTCTATCTAATTTGCCTTTCGATTACAGATGAAATGAGGCATGACTGTAAACATTGTATCATCTGTATATATATGATGTTCTTTTAGTGAGTTTAAAAAGTGTTATTGAAATTTTTTCAAAGTTCTCCCAAACATTTTTTTTGTTTTTTTTTTTATTTTATTTTATACGACTGAGAATGGCAAACAAGCGCGGCTCAACTGATGTAAAGAAGTAATCGTCGCCGGTAGACACGAACAGTACCATGGATATAACACAGTATACTATATTGTCCATGATATGTTATCTCGTATTTTTTTCATTGGTTTTCAGTTTAGAATAATAGCTTCAATATCCCTTACATTCTGTATACATTTACTATGTGTTTTGTAAATATTAATTAATTAATTAATCCATTCGTTTCGTGGCCGTGTGGTCCCGGCATAGAATAGGCCACCCCTTCCTTTCCCGTGAGAGGTGACTAAGGAAGAACGAGGGGAGGGCAGCAGCGTCCCTCTTAAAACAGCAGTGGACAGTTAAAGGTTGATGTGATGATACATTCCTTTATCATTATCATTCATTATTGTACCGTTTCCAGTATCCACAGTGTTGTACCTCACTGGTACTGTAATAAAACTGTAATAAAAAGTTGTTGTTAAATTAGACGAGATTTGCCTTGACAGACAGCAAGCGGAAACATATTCTGTTGACTAAACATATAATTGCGTGTTGGGGTAAAATATGGGTTATTCTGTAATACTGTTGATAACCGGTTAATAATATAAAGGAATTTTGTCCGGATCATATACAATACAATGTGAGGTCCCGTCATAGAATGGGCCACCCCTTCCTTTCCTGTGGGTGTCATTAGTGGCGACTAAGGGGAGGCGAGGGATGGGCAGCAGCGACCCTCTTAAAACATCTCCAAGACCTAATTGTGGTTGCCAATCCGCCTGCAAACCGTAGCAAATTCCCCAAGGGAAGGCTTTTGTTTAACTGCCCAACAGTTAAAGGCTGATATAATGATACAATGCAATGCAAAATTATACGAGAGATAAACATTAACATTAACTGCTTCAAAATATTCCAAATTTAAATTTAATCCTATGGCCGTTATTAATCTTGCTAAAGAGAATCAAGTCACGACAAATGTAATATCATTAATTATTTTGACATCATAACAAGAATAATCCGTGCAGATCTTGTAACTGATTCATTGGGACGCAATTTTAATGTGGGGTTGGTACTAAAATATTATCCAGTGACAAAACTGAAATATGTAATAGATATTTTTAAAATTCACTAAATTTATCCCCAAGGAATAAGATGTGCAAATTGGAAATAAAATGTTGACTTTCTTGAAACTCAACATTTTATTTCGTCCTAAATTGTTAATAGAACGCATTATGTCAGTATGGGAGGCTCAAAACGTCTTGCGGTAAATGCTAATAATTTAGATTTATTACATTTCACTTATATAACCCCGTCTGAGACTTTTCGTGGGCAAACGTGGTTTTGATGACTTAGTAAATGAAACTGAAAACTGAATTCACTTTCTGATTTATTTCTTGTAAACACATTGACAACTATTTGATTTATTAATATCAAAATGCATTATATCTTTATAATTTACTAAATAACTGAAATATAATCGCAAAGACACGCTTGTGTAATCAAGCTCCTAACGGGAAAGAGATAATCATAGACAATCTTAGTGACATTTTTTACTAGACCATAGACTACAAGAAATTAAGATCCTGTGCTTTAGGAATAAATTAGGATTAATAAATCTGATAATAAAAATGAGATTTAGACATGTGGAAGCATATAATATTGCATAAACAAATCCTATATTTTTATCACAATAAAATAATAATAATAACTTTATTTTATTTGCATAACCATGATTGTAACAAATTCAACACTGGAAATTACAGTAAAAGTAGATACGAATTCATTTGTACATTTGGATCAGTTTAAACATCTGTACCTGAACTAGGTTATAAAACCTGTATCTCAGACAACAGCGCTCAACCCTCATTTAATACTTTTTTTTATACAACTTAGAATGGCAAACAAGCTGACGGCCCACCTGATGGAAAGTGGTAACCGTCGCCTATAGACATGAGCAGTACCATGGACATAACAAAGTATATTGTTTCGCCCATTATACCCCCCATGCACTGCCATTCCTGAGGACTCAGGTGTTATTCTTCTGTACCCAGTAAACTCACGCCATATCCCACCCTTTAAACTGAAACACAGCCATGCAAACACAACTGCTTCACGGTAGAAACACGAATGGGACAGAGGTACCCAAGCAATCGATTTTTGTACAAAGTCTCTCTCTGGTATATAATATATAGGTCCCTATAATATTAGCTCAGTAAAATTTTTAGTGCCACATATAGAATGTTGACAATAAAATAACTAGACAGGCCGGCAGCACACCTGCAATGCCGTTGGTGTTGTGGGTGACAATGGGCGGCGGTAGTCACTTACCATCAGGTTAGTCGCATGCTCGTTTCCCCTCTGTATTGTAAAAAAATATTTACTTTATCAATTGAAACACAATGCATATGTATATTGTTGCTTCAGAGCAGAAATAGTTGAGCTAGTAGGTGAATCACACATAACTCTGTCATGCAGAGAATTAATGGGTACCCAAACTGCGTTTCATGTATACAATGTTTACGAGTTACCAATTACTTCCATTAGCCAATCCCACCCTGACGCATGCCTAGTGTACCAGTAAAAATTAGCATAGCACTGCATTCTTATTTTTCTATCATGTCACCTATAAAAATTTGTGACATTTTATGAATTGTTATGTGATCAATATGATCGCTAACCTGCAAACGATGTTCACTCTATCAAGAGTGTACGACTGAAGAAAGAGTGAGAGAGAGATATCCCTACAGTCATACTGACATCTAGTTGACGTTCCTGGAATAATGGAAATATAAACTCATGACTCACAACCGGTATAATGTCGCTTACAAGTAAAGGAAGCCAGGATTATAAAATGTAACACTGGCCAGTAATTTACATTGTTTTGTTACGTAAAAAAATTATTACAAAAGTAGCCGTACTTCATGAATTCCTATATAAAATATCGTATGTTCTAAGTTAGGATATAACCTATCATCATCATATCAGCCATTACCTGTGGCAGTCTATGGGGAGGCCTATCCCCATTGACTGCCACAAGAAACGGTCCTGAGCCACTATTTTGATATGGTATTTGTTTGTATGTATATTAGTACGTATGTACTCGTATGTTAGTCTATAAGGTATTTATATATGAGCCTATGTCTATATACTTGTTGCTAGAAATAAAGAAAATAAAAAATAATTTGCAGGTCCGCCGCTGGCAAGTGTGGGACCAGAAGGTGAGCAAAGACGACGAGCGGCCCAAATTTCAGAAGAACTCCAAGAAACAAGTGCAGTTTCTCAAGGGCGAAGATGGCGAGCCCTGGGTGAGTAAATTTTCCCTTACCGCTAAGATTTCCCTACGAGATTACAACATAGGATTCTTTAAAAAATTTAAGAGGTTTTATCAGTGATTCCAAAAGTATGGGGCTCTAACAAACGTCATTTCAAGTAATTATAGTTAATACAGCATAGATGTATTATTTTGGTATTAGGAGGAACTCTGGTTCCTGGGAGACTACAAAAGTTGTTTCCTTGGCTACCTCTGTTCCATTCGTATTTCAACCGTAAAGTAGTGTTTGCATGGCTGAGTTTTCGTTTGAAGGATGGGACATGGCAGTGAATTTACAAGGTACAGAGGCATAACACCTTAATCCTCAGGAATGGCAACGCATGGGGGGTATCATAAGCGAAACAGTGTACTGCTCATGTCTATAGGCGATGGTTACCACTTTCCATCAGGTGGGCTGTCAGCTTATATGTCAATATTATTATTTGCTTATTTATTTATCAGCTTATTTTGCTTATTCTAAGTTGCATAAAAAAGGCTTATAACTTTGCAAGTTAATCTACACGTTAATTATTATTTAATTGATAGTTAAAGTATTTTTTGTCATATATCAGCCTTGTATTATTAACAAAGTCCCATATGACCTTTACGATCGGCATTCAGACAATCATCTTGTTGCAAAATAATGGTCGAAGCTTTCAATGTCAGTTGATGAACATCTCTTAACATTGTCTTGTTTGAATTTTCACATTAAATACTTTCACCATTACAATAAGGATAAGCCTTGCCTATAAGGGGAGTTTTGCCAGTACTTGGCAGAAAGGTTGGCAACAGCAGTAAAACATTAGACGTGTTTTAAGAGAGACTCTATCCATTCTACGCAAGAAAGAAAGGGGCGTATCCTATGCCGTGATCACACGGTTCCTTGTAAACAAAACTTGTAAATCTTCAAAAATCATAAAATTAAAATGGAAATAACACAGAACTATCTAAAAGAACTATGAAAATAGGTTTAATATTGGTAAGATAATCACGTAACATAAAAACCTAATGAGTTTCTTTTTTTATGGGTAAAAATGGAATCCATCAGTTTTGGAGAATTCAACGAGAATCAACCACAAAGGTTTTCAGGGGAACCACGTCAAATTCGACCTGTTGGGGTATATTGCATAGGGTCTGTTAGACCTCTTTCCTAACAAGTTCTTTCGCCCCCTCAACAGAATTGCATCTGTCGTGAACTCTGAAAGTTTTCAACGTACCTCTTAATAATGTAATAATAAAACACCTCTTTTTTTCATTTAAAAGTTTCCTCTTGTCGGTGCAACTAATTCATGCATCTTCTTCCAGCCAGCTCTATCCCAGGCCATATCCTTGACCTCCCTATACGACATGACACCTAGTGTTTCTTTTGTCTGTCCCATGTAATTATTCCTTGACCTTCCTCTTCTTCTTTTGCCCTATAAAACACGTAAGTCTACATATATTGATGGTCATCAAATCAAAAGTAGAACATACCGACTCAGCTGATTTAAAAGAGCATTGACAATGGAGCGAAGGTTTTGTTCTTTATATGGTCCATAACAACTTACATGGTAGGGAGACCATGTTTATTGGAATTATTAAATAGCCTCCGCAATTGGAACACATATGAATTGTTAAATTTATTATATGGGAATGTGAAATTTAATACTGACATAACGTAATTCTCTGAAAATCAGTGGTATTTAAACTAGTTCATATTATTTATTTTTGTTAGATAATCAATACGCGGCCTGTAAGATTGTACAATAAAATTCATATTTTATTGATCATAATATTGAATATTTATTATTATTTATTATAGCCCTCTTATCTGTTTTTATGTCAGTACTCTTAGCAATTAATTGTTGTTACAGTCGAAAGTTTAAAGATATTTAAAGACTTTTATATTAAAATGTAGTTGAAATAATGAATAATAAAGTTAATAGTAAAAATACTTTGGTGATTTCTAATTAACAACTATCTATCATTTTAGTATTAATTTATAAATGTTGACTTGTTATTTAGTAAGTGAATAGGGCCAATTTTGTGACGTAATTCCTCTAAACGTATGTCTTAACCTAATATTTTAATTTGATAATTTCGCTAAATTACTGTTTTAGGGGCCAAATTATATAACAGATATTTAATTTTAGAAATAGGTTTAGAGAAATGGCGTTTTAAAATTGACTCCATTGTCGTGACAATGTACAGAAGGTCTACCATAAAATGTTTTCCGAAATTTCGGGACCGAACGAAAAACAAAAATATTTAAAATACTTGATACATACCTTTTAACAATATTAAAATATCGTGCCTTTGGATTTTTATAGAAGGACTTATCCCTTTTATTAGGGAAACGTTGGTAGGGGCAAGTGGAACTGACCGCATTTATGACGAACGAAATGCTAAGCTCCATTTACTGGACCAGTTTCAGTATGAACAAAAACACGAAATTGAGTCCGAAAGTTCGGAATGGTGTTCATTAATATGGAATTTCATGGTAGGCCCCTAGATTACATACAATTTAAATCGTCAAGGAAGTATTTTGTTTGGTCTTAAAGTTTGGTAACCCTACACAAGGGACCTTTGTGTCAGCAATTAGAATAGGTATTATCTGTTCTGGCGAGTTCAATGCCACGTCCGTAGTGCCGGTAATTAATAAAAGTCATTACAATTGTGAATGCCTCATTTATTTAGTAGGTTTAAAACGGGATTGATAGCTGTCTTTTGTACTATTAGGGACAGCAAATAATGATTCACTTGGCAAATCATTCACAATGTAGTAATTTAAAATGTTAATAGAATGGTAACCACGACTGCACTATCAATCTATTTTTTAATGGGTGGTAATGAAATGGTGAACTCCGTCTGCGCTATCGGTATATGCTGGCGGAGCACCAGTGAGAGAATTAACCATCCCCACAAGAATTAACCATGATGGTTTCCAGCAGGATCCGCGTGGAGGTCGATCTGATAGTGTATATTGTAATGGGCTTGCTAGTCTACATTATAAACAATTTCTTCTCCCTGGCAGGGTATCAATGAATAATGATAGGAAAGAATGAAATCTGGTCAATTGGCCCATCATGACTTATTCCAGCTGGAAGCGGATATGAGTTCCACTTAACAGGCTATATTGCTAGCAATGGTGCCGCTAGTCCCCTTACTAATAATCTCTTTCCTCATGTCACCTCCTCCTCTCCTCTTCCTCGTGTCTTCATTCTTATGAGGAATGGAGAGGAAACGCGTGGAACAAAGTACTATAATATATCAACATCAAAACTTGAAATGAAACATGTTAAACCTTATGGTTATGATATTAGGTCAATATTCCTCTCTTACGGAGATACTTTGGTGATATGACGATTCTTCCTCAATGAGGGATCAATATTTTTCTAATCACGAGTATACTTGTTTAAGAGAGAAAGTATTTGCTTTATTGGCACCACATTTTTGATGGTAAGAGATAAAGTAGTCTAAGATTTTTTATGTTTAATTCCAGGTGTGGGTGATGGGCGAACATCCTGACGACAAGTCGATAGACACCATACTAGCGGAAGAGGCGCGGCAGCGGGTGTTTGCGCAGGCGCGTGAGGAGGCGCACCAGCTCAGGAAGTCGGTGGAGAAGGAGCTCACCCAGCTCATAGACTACAAGCCGCTCGATAGTTTAGAACAGGTACACTGTAGTTGATTTGTCCTATGTCTCTAGACCGCCACGTTAGTAGGTTTTTTAATAAGTAATAATGGAATGGTAACCCCATTTGCGCTGTGGTATACGCTAGTGGGGCACCAGTGAAGAATTATAGGCAAGGATGAAAGCAGGTTACTTGGTCTTAATTAATCATTTTTAGGGGGACCCATATGTAGGTCGACTTGACAGGGTATATTGCTAGCAATGGAGTTCTTAGACTCCCATTACCAATAATCTCTTTTTAGATCACGTTAGAAGAATCGAGAAATTTAAGCCTTAATCGTGCGCTCTCTCTAAAATATTATATTTGATTCCTGATGAATACGTCACGTTGGTCCGTCAATAATGATAGATGAGGATGAAGCAGGTCAGCTTCATCCTCATCTATCATTATTCACTGGTACCTTACCATCATGTGCCTATAAAGCAGGCGGTGTTACCAATACATCTTCATGTCATTAAAAAAATCTCTTGTCATTGCGTACAATGTTCCTTTGATCTTCTGACATATCATTATCATATCAGCTTTTAATTGTCCACTGCCGAACATAAGCCTCCTCCTTGGGGGATTTTGCCAATAGTTGCCACACTTGGTAGGCGGAATGGCAACCGCAGTCAGGCTTTAGAGATGTTTAAACAGGAACGCTGCTGCCCATCCCTCGCCCTCCCTTAATCGGATCTTACGACACTCACGGAAAAGAATAGCCTATACAAACGGGGTGGCCTATTCTATGCCGGGACCACACGGACATACATATATCCTTGGGTAATTTATGAAAAATCTAAGATAGCAACAAAACTATTAAACATTGAGTTTTGTTCTTAGTCATTTTGATGGCATCGATCAGGTAGATCTAATAACATTCAAAGCTGTTGAAAGGATCTATCTCTGTCTCCTGATAAAGTACTCTTTCTATAACGCAATAATACAACTGTAAAAGTACTTAAGGTTGAAGTGTAACTTACAAATGTAAAATTCATTTGTACGTCATTTTATAAAAGCTTTCCTATGTATTTCTACTTCTGAGTTTTGTTCTTAGGCAATTTTGATGGCGTCAATCAGGTAGATCTAATAATATTCAAAAGTATTAAAAGAATCTATCTTCTGATAAATTACTCTTTCTATAACGCCATAATACAAGTGTAAAAGTACTTGAGGTTGAAGTGTAACTTACAAATGTAAAATTAATTTGTACGTCATTTTATAAAAGCTTTCCTATGTATTTCCACTTCTAAGTTTTGTTCTTAGGCAATTTTGATGACATCGATCAGGTAGATCTAATAACATTCAAAGCTATTTAAAGAATCTATCTCTATCTTCTGATAAATTACTCTTTCTATAACGCCATAATACAAGTGTAAAAATACTTGAGGTTGAAATGTAATTTACAAATGTAAAATGCATTTGTACGTCATTTTATAACATATTTCTTATGTATTTCCTCTTCTCTTTACTAAGTTGTTATACCTCTTGTATTTGGCTATCTTATTTACTTTTCTCCAGGATTTCCCCTAAGTTCAATAACATGGTTTAAAGACGCACATAACTAAGATGTCACTGAGTGTAAGTGTACTTACATTTGATAAGATAATTCAGAGCAGGTAAAAGTACATATTGAACAATCATTGTTATCAAGGATGTTGATAAACTAAAAAAAAAATTACCTACCATGTTCTTTGCAGTCGACTTGCATTTTTATTATCACGAAATATTTGAATTTTTATTCTCTATTTCAAATTTTTTATCTTATTTATAGTTCTACGCCTACACCAAATGTGTATTCCTGTCTTAATAAATAACGTGAAAAGAATAATAAATCCATTACATCTCAATATTTAACCTGCCTTTTGGGGAAAGCTTATGGCCAGCAGTGGGTGATAAATGGCTGATACGAGTATGATGATGATGATCCTAATATTTATTTTGGTTCCTGAAGTGCTGGCTTATCCCTTATACTTATGGGTGCTGCATGTGTAGAGTCAAGTTGGCGCCAGATCTAACACAGGTTTACTTTTCGAATTCTTTTCTCAATATTATACTTTATTAAAATCTTTAATTAAATGACTGGCAAATTAGACTAAAAGTAACATTTATATGTCTCTTTTCAGAAATTTGACCTATCACCGAAGACTTTAGACCCACTAGAAGATACGTTAGAAATATATTGCACAGTGGACGAACTTCGGCAGAGGATCGAGGCTCTGGAGCCCGAAGTGAAGATATCCGACAAGAGTATGAGGGACATTGGCGACAAGACGGACTACTGCAATGACAAATTGAAGCTAGACCTCAACAAAAACACGTTGCATTTCAATTTTATTGAAGGCAAGAGAGATGTACTGCAGGTTAGTTTGATTTGGGCTTTCTAAAATATACATTAATACTAGGTTATAAAGCTGAAGAGTTCGTTTGTTTGAATACACTAATCTCTGGAACTACCAGTCGGAGTTAAAAGAAATCTTTTTGCATTTGATAACTCATTTTTTAAATAAGCTTTATAGGTGGTTTAGCATTAAAACATGACCACGGGTGAAGCTGTAGGGTACAGCTATTATGTGTATACGGATGAGATATGTGACAGATTGCTTTTAACACACGGTTGCCTTATCGTTTTAAGAGCCTTATTTAAAAACTCATATTGTTTAACAGTAATAAATAAATGTTGTTACCATGCATCAACTCTTGGCTTATTCGAATACTCTTAGTGACCTTAAAAAAACAACAAATGAACAAGTCTCCATAAATGCAATTAAGGAATTAATGCTTTTAGCGCGCTCCATCTGTCTCATTATTACTTTCTTGTACAAATCCACAAGAATACATATTTATAAGTGTCAGTAATTTAGCAGAGTTTGTCTAATGTCAGAAGCCTGGGACGACAGTTTATTATAGCAGCTAGAATTAGTAGTTTTATCGCTGGCAATATATCTAGTCCAAGCTGAAAATCATCGTGGTTAATTTTTGCTAAGTTCATCACGATGGGCCAACTGACCTGATTATAATTAAGATTCGTTTCACAAAGTAAACCGACATCAATTTTGATAAAACCAGTTATTTTGATTTAAAAATTTAATTACTAACCCGATTTTGATAAAATTTCTATGTGATTAATCTGTAAATATATCTTTTCAAATGAAAAAGAATTTTATAACATGTATGCAAGGACCTTTATCTTTGCAATGTTACATTAAGGCTGCCAATTTGTTACTTTAAATTTATAGCCGTATATAATATCGAATGTTATGCAGAGCAGTTATTGGAGCGCAAATTTAATGCCGTTTTATGTAATATTTATTTTATAAATGTATTAATTTATAATCTGTTGCCTTGCTATAAATAAATAAATGTAGGTTCAGAACTGACGGATTTATGACAAACATTAAATAAATACAACCGACTTGGGTTCTTTTTTAGGTTGATTGAAAATTAGTCTCACCTCATCTACGCTCGAGTATAGTTGCTTCATTTTCAAGTGATGACAAATTATCAGGAGTTGGGCGCCGCGACGGGCGCGGACGGCGTGAGTAACCGCGTGGCGGCGTGGGAGCGGCGCGTGGCCGCCGCGCGCGCCGGTGACCTACTGCGCGGCCTGCGTGCACGTCGCGCCCGTGCCCTGCGAGACACCAGGGACGACGACGACCGCGCCTGGCAGGACCAAGGTACGCACCCACATACTGCTGCTATCGCGGCGGGCAGGACCAAGGTATATCCCTCGCATACTATCGCAATGACCGCACTTGCCGAGTCCAAGGTACACCCTCGCATACTATCACGACGACCGCACTTGCCAAGGCCAAGGTACACTTCTCGCATACTATCACGGCGACTGTACCTGGTAGGACCAAGGTACACCCCTCACATACTATCACGACGATTGCACCTGGCAGCCCAAGGTATCCCCCCGCGTGCTACCACGACGACCGCACCTTGCAGGACCAAGGTGTGATACCACGACTACTGCGTCCGGTAGATCAAGATACACTCCTTTACTCGTATGCACTATAATCTCATAATTTCACATTTCCGAATTATTGTTGATAAATACATTCTAACATCAGAATCATGATGTGTACTAAAATTATGACATTATCAGAGTATCTTAGGGTATCTTATTGTAAAGAAAATATTCTTTTTCACTTCAAGGTAATATGTGTAATATTTTATTTACTGTACGTAAATATATAACCAAGATATGATAAAAACCTCATCTCACCTCTTCCTTTCCTGTAGGTGTCGTAAGAGATAACTAAGGGAACTTAATGGTAAAGAGATAGGCAGCGTCCCTCTTAAAACTTCTCTAAAAGCCTAACTGCAGTTGCCAACCTACCTGTCAAGTGTGGCAACTACTGGCAAAACTATGGAGAAGGCAGTTAAGCAATAGACAATTAATGGCTGATGGGCAGTCAGATACTTAATTTTGTCTACGGTGGGACGATCGTAGTTTTACTGACAATTAGAACTATAAAAGGTGGCAGCTGTCACAGACAACGCGCATGAATGTGTGAATGAGATGCACGACACAAAGCCGTAACAGCTGAAATGAAATGATGATTCGAGACTACGTATTTTTAGTAAAGCAACAATAAATATGTACTAAATACTATACTCATGTCAACCGCAGAGCGCAAAGCGAAAGAGGCGGAGGCCACGATGCGCCAGATAGCGCGGCAGGCGCGGGAGGCGCACCGTCGCAGCACGGAGCTACGTGGTGTGCAGCCACCCCCGCAGCCACAGAGTATGACCTTTTCGTTTTATATTACATTTGCTTCTACTTACGTTTTCATCAGAATGACCGGGATCCTTTAAATATATTGGAGAAGAATGTAGACTACTTACTATAAATAGTCTCTAACCCAAACATGATGTATGCATGTTAAGTTTTATGTCTCTCTCTCTTCGTCCTCTTCATTACTGAAGGTCGTGTCCTTGAAAGGTGTCTGCTGCCTCTCTTATGATGTTATTCCATTTTGCATGGTCTTCAGATACCAAATTTCATAATGGTAGGTTGTAAAATTAAAGCACCAAGGTATAATAATAATTCTTACTTTAATTATTAATTAAAGTAAGATAATGTTTGATTAATAAACCTGTAGGTTTAAAAATCGGTCATTGATTATCCGGGTATAGCCAATTACCCGAAGTGTATTTTTTATATACCACAAATATAGTCCATTTTATGGTAAACGGACACTAGGCTATTAACGCCAGCAACACTAGGAATGTGCGCGTTGCCGTCCCTGAAGAAACCTTAATATGCTTTTTTTGAAGAACACCATACTGTAGTTTGTTGGGAAAACCTCGGCAGGGAGTTCATTCCACAGTCTGAGCATTTCAAGAAAGAAAACCCTCTGAAATTAAACTGTACGCAACCATTTAGGTTATAAAGTGTAAGGATGAATTCCCTGTGTTTATCTGTTATCATAGCCATATAGGTCGCTGTATAGAATGAGCCATTCCTTCCTTTCCTGTGGGTATTGTAAAAGGCGATTAAAGGAACTTATGGTGGAGGGATGGGCAGTAGCGTACCTCTTAAAACATCACCAAAAGTCAAACTGCGGTTGCTAACTCACCCGACAAACATGGCAACTGCTGGCAACACCTCTCTTGTAGGGAAGGCTATGCTCAGCAGTGTACAGTTACCGGCTGATACATACATACATACATACAAAGAGTTATACTTCCATCTCATCTACAAACTGAAACTTACATGTATGTAATACAATTTCAGCGGGCAAACCACCGAGCAGGGAAGCGGTTCTGGAGTGGTTCAGGACGCAGGAACTGAAGCGGGGCGTTGGCCTCGACGAGAACAACAAGCCGGTCGACTGGTTTCATGGTGATTAATATGTTTTAATACTGTTTCGTGTATTCTCTCTTTATCGTCTATAATTTGTACTAAATTTAAATGGTTCTTTACATAAAGATTGCATTATCATGAAAATTCAATTTGAAATTAAATCAAATACATATTTTTGTTCATCGAATGTAGATTCTCTATGGATGGATCTAAGATTCTAATTCATATAAATGACCAATATTTTTGTCGGAATTGGAAACCTAGTGTTGTTTTTAATAAATTTATGAAAATGGAATGCTAAACCTGACAGCACTGTTGGTAGGGGGGAGGGGATTGTTAGTAATGCGAACTACCAGTCTTATTGCTACTCGTAGCAATATACCCTGTCACGTAGTCCTCCACGTGGTCCCCTGGAAACCGTCGTACTGAATTCCAGGTGTATTCATCACGGTGGGCTAATTGACCTGTCTTTTCATTCTCATCTATCATGCTCTCGGCTCGGCGCCCCCTTACAACGAAGAAATATAACTCAATCCTTTATTCAAATGCCTGTGGTCAAATTTTGACAACGAAAAAGAAGTCATCCAGAATCCTCGTTATTCACTACAGTCATCACTGATGATACCTCTCTTAGACCATAACCTTAGTGTCTCCTGGATCTCGGTATTCCCCTTGGGTTTCTGAGCCTGTACGGTATCAGTCTCGGCTCGGGCCCCGAGAAGCCACAGGAGCTCTCGTTGTGAACACGCGCGCGGGTGGCGCAGGTGTGATCACGCGCGGCGAGGCGGAGCGCGCGCTGGCGGCGCGTGCGGCGGGCAGCTTCCTGGTGCGCGTGTCGGAGCGCGTGTGGGGCTACGCCATCTCGTACCGCGACGCCGCGCGCTGCAAGCACTACCTCGTGGAGAGCGGCGCCGGCTACCGCCTGCTCGGCGCCGACCAGCCCACCCACCACACGCTAGGTGACGCTCTTATCTTTATTAAACGACCGACGAGCTCGGCCGTTACGTCTGATGAGTATATTTTTGATATTGCAATATTGCCCATATCAGTCGGATACCTATATTTATTACAAGCGGTTTTTTTTTTTGGTATTATATATGGGTAACCGATAGTTATTATATATGTATCTACCAATATATCGTCATAGTCGTAACATACTGACGGATCTTTATATGTAATATTCGTCGGATCCGTCAGTATTCTACGACTATGACGATATGTATAGATATTGTAACTACAATATATAGTTATTGCTATATATTACCCACTCTTAATTGTGATGTGTGTAAGGATGCGTATTCCTTACTGATATTATAAATGTAAAAATAAGTTTGTTTGTTACTTTAAATCTTAACTAATCATAAAATTTGGTATACACGTCCTACATGGGATGAAGAAAGCTATAGACAACTTTTATCCCGGTCAGTGAAACTACCCCGATGACGCGGACGAAGTCGCGGGTAGAAGCTAGTAGGTACATAATTAATTTTCAAATTGTTTCAGCTGATCTCATAAATTACCATAAGACAGTCCCCATCACGGAGAGTGGCGGCGAGCTGCTGCGCTCGGCGTGTGCGGCCGCGCAGCCGCCCGATTGCCTTACGCCCGCCTGCTGAGCGGCCTCCACCGCGAGCCAGTCACCTGCCTTATACTTATCGCATAAGGTGGTCATCTCCCTTACACTTATCGCATAAGGCAGATATTTGCCTTACACTCGTCGTATCAGACAATCAATTGCCTTACACTAGTAGCATAAGGCAGGTATCTGCCTTACACTCTACATGTAGGGCAACTATCACTTGCTTTATTGAGATGTTTTTAGCTTTTTGTTTAATCGGAATTATTATTAATTTCTTTACAGTTTTTGACGTTGTCATTAATAATGTATGTTTAAAAAAAATAGCAAATCTATACGACGAGTGTGATGGCCTTAAATAATGTCGCCAAAAGTTCACTGCCAGAAAAAAATCTTGAGATTTACGTGAATTTCATAGAATTCTAGATACCAAATTGTTATAATGATCCAAGTTAATAATTAGGTAATTTAGTTTGTTTTAATCGAAGTGACCATTAGTCTTCCAATGTATTTAGTTCGATTTGAAAATAAGCAATTGTATTACCTTATACTTGTGTGGTAAAACTATTGATTGGCCACAGCAACCAAAATGTAACGTTTCCTAACAATATGACGAGCATTTAGCGACTACTAAATACTCAGAATTACTGTGACCACACGACAGGCACTTTGCGGACATTCCGCTTTAACCCTACAAAATCTTGTACAGAGTATGTACAGAGATTGGGGACCATTTAATACATCAGTCATATATTATATTTAGTCATTAAAGCTATCTTTTGTATATTATTTGTAATTTTCACTTTTATCGCTTAGTTGTAAGGACGTGATAAGCCGAGATTGAATATTGTTAGAATCGAATTTAAAATGTCTCTTTGTATAAAACAAAAATATATCATATTTTATGATAAGTTTTTCCTGTATTGTGCCTTATTTTATATCCGTTTAAGGCAGGGGTCGCCAACCTGACTCGCGAGTCACATGCGGCTCCTTGGATGAGAAGCTGTGTCTATTTAGTTTCGTATTAGTTCCACACGTAAGTACTATTTATAAAAAAAAATCTCAATCGATTAACAAGGATTAGACACCAAACTTTATTTATTCAAATACTGTTTATTAGCAAGAAACATTTCTGTGGCTCTTTAAAAACTTTGAAATTTTGTTAATTGTAATTTTTGACACTTCTGTCTCAAAAGGTTGCCGACCCCTGGTTTAGGGCATAGTTCAGTGGTGCTTATAATTCGAATATAATGTACCCCAATATCAATTTATATCAATAGCAGGGGTCGATCTCGACAGTTCGAAAGATCTAAATCACTGCGTTTATGCATTTTTAGCATGATTAAGAACAAAATACTTTACTGATATAGTTATTTATTGTGATAATCGACCATCTCCTACGAATACACATCGCCGCAGTATTAGAATGCTTAAAAAAATTATAAACCACGACCGTGTTCGGAGTGAAAAGAGCCAAAGTTAAAATTCTGTGTATCAGAGTTTGAGACTTATTCTTAAGTTGTTAAGGTCTATTGTTTAAAACGATGTGTATGCCATTTGTCGTTAGTAGAACAAATAGATCTACTGTATTGTAGAATTAGTTTCAAGTCATCAGAATTTGTATACTAGAATACTATTTAGTCATAAACTGATAAATAAAATAAAAAAAATATATACTAAAACATTTTTTATTTCAACCCAATTGAATTCAGAACTGAATTTAAAATTAGAAGTTTGTTTCTTAATTCGATATCGAAATCAAGGAATTTGGAAATATATTCGCAAAATTGCATCCTTTTTACATTCAACGAGGTTTACTCCCGTTGTAATCACATCATCATCATCATGTCACTTGTACACATCATCAACTGTCCTCTACTGAACAAAAGCCTCGCTCATAGACTACCTTTATCATTGAGGGGTTCTGCCAACAGTTGCCAGGTACTGTAGGCGAGTTGACAACGTAGTTAGACTTTGGTAGTTTTGTTGTGAAAAGGGGCACTGGTGCCCATCCCTCGACAATTATATTCCCTTAGTCATCTCTCACGGGAAACGAAGGGGTGGCTCATTCTATGCCGGGACCACACGACAATTATATACAAGTATATAACATCAATCAATTAAGAAAGTGGGATATGAACATAAGGATCTACTAAGTTTTAATAGGGAGGAAAGGAATTGTTAGCAACGGAGTTTGACAGCCCCATTGCTAGTAATATGCCTTATTAGGTCGACTCCACGTGATTCCCCCTGGAAACCATCGTGAACAATTCTTGTTGAATTCGTCACGATGGGCTAACTGACCTACTTCATCCTCACCTATCATCCTTCACTGGTGCCCCGCCAACGTATACTGATAGAGCGGGTGGGGTTGCCATTCCATTATCATCCATTAAAAAAAAAAACTAGGTTTTAATAATATTATAATCATTAAAGCGAATTAGTGTTCACGACTATATGAATTCTACAGGAATGACAACGCAACCGCAGGGCAACACAGTATACTTTATTACACCCTTGATACTGTTCATGTCTATAGACGACTGTTACCACTTTCCATCAAGTGGGTCGTCAGCGTCTTTGCTTCTCTAAGTTGCATAAAATATAAGCGGAAACGTAGTAGTAGTAGTAAGCGTACTGAAAATATAAGCGAAAATTTGGAAACTGACATCTCAACACAGCCATAATGAAATTCAAAAATTTTAATAGTGTTTATTAATAGGCGAGTAAGCGGCGTTATACTATACATATTTACAAATTTTCATTTTATTTTTTCAATTTTACTAACTTTGATAATTGTTATTATAAACTACGTATACAAAAAGTGTCAAAAATCTATGGACAAATTCGATTATTAATTTTGGCCGTATCGTTAACCTTGACAATAATCTTCAAACAACATTCAAACAAATCATTTTCATGAATTTAAAATAAATACATTAAATAAAAATTAATAATAACATTTAACAATAACAAAAGGTGAGTTCTAACATCTAAATATTATTTTTAACAAAGTACGTATATTTTCATTAAATACTAAAATTTGTACAAAACATGTGAAAACTATTTATTGAGGATTATCCATATAAAATCGAATGTGACCACACACTGGTCACTGCGAATCTAAAATGCCTGCCAAATGTCATTTAAAAAGGTAGATAAATAGGTAATAGCATAATTATGTACTTATACATTTCTAACGTGAAATAAACATGAAATTTTTCTTTATAAAATAGAATATAAAATGATAAAAAAAAGTACTTATATAAGATGGCCTTTTATCGGATTTTAATATGGCCGAATATAACGGAAACCTATTTTGTATAATAACTGTAATCTAGAAAATTCCATGAAATGGAATTACATCATCATCATTTATGTGATTATTATTATTTATTTTATTTATTACACATATAAAACAGATCATAATCATAAAAAGAAACTTAAATAGTAGTTAAATTTGTGATACAGCTAGTTTATAATTCAGTTCCATTATGTGCCACAGCTTGAATAATTCATGTTCATAATTGTTCATAAAAACAATGTTTCATATTTTTTCACTTCAATTTAATTGTATTTCATATTTATACAATTATAAACAAATTAATGAACTGTTTAGAATATAAAATCATATGTCGATATTGTATCAAATAAATCATATTGTCATAATAAAACAATTTTACTCATTTCTTGGTCACATAGCTTGGAGAACCGACAACCGATGACGAAGAAAGGTTGAGTGGCGACACCGTACGAGTAAATACAGTATAGAATGATCTCCCTACTAGATGAAGTGACGACCTGAAATGCATTGCAGGGTATCAGTAGATGTAGGTGGCTCAGGACCATTCTTTATAGCTGTGTATGGGGGAGGTCTATGTCCAGCAGTAGATGGATAATGGATGAAATGTATTAATGGTAATAATTCAGATGCTTTTAAATATTTGTCGGCTGGAAACATCAGAATATGATAGGAATTTATTTACTACTGTCACCTTGTTGTACCATATTCTAACAAATAAATTTATTATTATTTCTTGAAATTGTTTGTAAAGAATAAAGAACTAATAAAGAAATCTATCTATCTATCTACTATAAAATAATGTGAACGACCCAAGAAATTTTAGATTCGCAAACGACTCGTATGAAATGGACGACCCCAACACTATTTTTAAACGGCAGTCTTATTAGAGACGGTATAGTAATTGTATAAGATTGTATGAGAGGGGACGGCTGGTCAGTAGTAAGCGGCTCTCCACAAGCCGAATATGTATGGTCACATGTATGGCAAATTCGTTGGTGTTCGCCCGTTCGACGCCAGCTCGGGCACACGCTGTCGGAACAATGGAAAATTAACAAGCAATCAAATTATACATATATATTTAATACAATAAAAGAAAAATTTAAATATTTACGTCTGTCCTTCCGTATTAAAAAATGTCATCATCATCATATCAACCTTTAACTGTCCACTGCTGAACATAAGCCTTCCCCTTGGGGGGTTTTGACAGTAGTTGCCATGTTTGGCAGGCGGATTGGCAACCGCAGTTAGGCTTTAGAGGTGTTCTAAGAGGGACGCTGCTGCCCATCCTTAGCCCTCCCTTAGTCGCCTCTTACGACACCCACGGGAAAGGAAGGGGTAGTCAATTCTATACCGAGACCACACGGCGAATTTAATGTTATACAGTAAAGCTGTATAATAATGTCCCTGTCAAACAAAACATCCTAATCACAAGGTCAAAGTCGCAGGTTAATTCTCTAAAACTATCACAAACTCACCGAGGAGTCCCACATATCGTATGATTTCGAAGTTGTGCTATGCATGGGTGGATTCTTAGCCTTTTTTATAGGACTGTTGCTGGCTGAAAATTAATGACATACATTTTATTTAAAAAATATAACGAATTTAAATAAAGAATGTATGGTACTCTCTAGTCCCTGTCTACCTCAAATGAAACTAGTATTGACTTCTTTATTATAAACAAGGGTGACAAAAGTATTGATTACTGATTGCGTGGTAAATGGTCATTGCAGCCCATTGATGATTTAACCATTCGGGTTACCATTCCATTATCAACCATAAAAAAAACCACCTGTGCTAACGGTATACGCTGGCACCAGTGAGAAATGATAAAGGAGAATAAAAAGGTAGGTCACTTAGATTAAGCAATCGTGATGAATTCACATGGAATTGAGCACTGTCTTCCATGGGTGACTGCAAGGAGGTCATCCTGACAGGGTGTATATTGTTAACAATAGGGCTATTGATCCTCATTCCTAACAATCTCTTCTCTCCCTGGTGTGTTTCGATTTGAAGGCTGGGACATGACAGTGAATTTACATGGTACGAAGGCATAACACCATTATTCTCAGGAGCGGCAATGTATGAAGGATACCACATAGACGACGGTTGCCGCTTTCCATCAGGTACTAGGTCAGCTTGTTTGCCATTCTATGCGTTATAAAGAAAAATGTTAGTGCCATATCACAATTCAGATCAGAATACTGAATGCCAGGCAATTGTATAGTGGCGGGTGAGACATTTGCTTAGGGAAAATACTATACAAAATCTCCTTCTGGTATAAGAAAAATAAATTTTACCTCCCGGTACATACGGCAGCGATAGTTCTGGCGGCTTTTTGATAGTTTTCTTGGCTACGGCGCGACCACGCAGCAGTTCTTCATCCATCACCAATTTATTGTTCACCCTGGTGATGACAAGGAAATGTTAACATTGAACAACTCATAAATCAACGTAATTTCAATGGTGTTGGCAATTTTTTTTTTACAACACAGGGGGTAAACGAGCATGCGGCTCACCTGATGGTAAGTGACCACCGCCGCCCATGATCACCCACAACACCTGCTGCTGGCGCTGGTGCTGC